TAAAGCTGTTTTCATCTGCTTCTTCCAATTTTTGATGTTCAGGTCTAGATGTTGGAGGAGGGCTAGGTTCTGGTGATGCTGTATTGCTCTTCATTTTGTTGTATGTACTTCTGCCTTGACGTCTGCCCATCTCCTTGTGGTTTGTTCTTGGTCATATCAGCGCACTTGGTCCAGACAGAGCTGACAGATTCAGGAAGTCTCTCTCTGTTGTCCAGATGGGAGCTCTCTTGTCCAAATGGTAACTCCAGGGCAGGATGGGAGCTCTTGTTCAGACGGGAAGTCCAGGGCAGGATGGGAGCTCTTGTCCAGACAGGAAGTCCGGGGCAGGATGGGAGCTGGGTGCCAGTCTCTAAGTCTCAGGAAGTGGCTGGAGTCTCGGGCAGATGGGCGTGGGAGCAGGGCGTGGAGATTGCAGGGTCTGCCGGGGGTCTTGGAGAAGGGGAGCCTTCTGGGTAGGGCTAGAAGGGAACCTGCCCGGTGGCCAGAACCTGGGGCCAAGTTGGGCAGGTTTCCCCGGAGTGGTTGGTGCCCAGGGATGGGGTCTAGGCTGAGCCAGGACACTTACCTCTGGTCCAGAAGGGAAGTCCAGGAGAGGATGGGACCTGGGGGTGCGGTCTCTAAGTCTTAGGAAGTGGCTAGGGTCTCGCGGATGGGCGTGGGGGCAGGGCGTGGAGATTGCAGGGTCTGCCAGGGGTCTTGGAAAAGGGGAGCCTTCCCGGTAGGGCTAGAAGGGGACCTGCCCAGTGGCCAGAACCTGGGACCACATTGGGCAGGTCTTTCCCAGAGTGGCTGGTGCCCAGGGATGGGATCTAGGCTGAGCCAGGACACTCACCTCTTGTTCAGAAGGGAAGTCCTTGGGCAGGATCGCCTGTAGCTCTTCATTTAGGGATTGTACCATGTGAGGTTCTGCCATCCACACTGGCATGTTAATTGGTAAAACTAATTCTTTTGAAAACCATCATTTGAATCTATTCTTTTGCTGTCCACACATTACCTTCCTTTGTCCTCTCAGAGGGAAATGACTAACCTGAACTGCACAAATGATTCTCATGATTTTGTAGTTTATTTTATTTTTATTTATCTCTAAATTATATAATTTGTATTTATAAATATACATTTACATTACATTACATGGGCTGCTATACTAATATACCAGAGACAGAGTGATTTAATGTAAATTCATTTTCCCAATATTCAGGAAGCTAGAAGTTCAACATCAAAGGGACAACACAATGTTTTTTTCTGTTGTCATCTGATGGTGTGATCCTATGTGGCTTACTGACTCCAGACTGCTTTCTTCTTGTTATATCCTCATTCTGGGGTATGGGAGGGACAGCCTGGTATCTCTTCTTAGAGAAACACTAATCTCATTGGATAAAGGACCTATCTTCATCATTTATTTTAACATTAATTAGCTTATTATAAGCCTAATTTTCAAATAGAACTATATTTGCCCTTAGGGTTTCAACATTTAAATTTGTATAGACTAGGTTTTAGCATTCAGTGCTTAATAATGTACATAAATTTAAAAATTTGTTTCTGTGTTTTCCCATACTGTTGAAGTCTTATTTTTCCTTCATCATTTTCTCTTTTTTTATCTGTTATTTTGTTGGAGAATTGATCTGGATTATTCCTTATGTAAAGATATCAAGTTTGTTTATTGTTGACCTTTTTCCTGTTCTTATGAATAAGGTTGCTACAAACTTAAATCTGCCTCTACTTGTACATGTGAAAATATCATTGGTACCTGATACCACCTTGGCAATGCATATATTCAATGGTAAATAATACCAAACTATTTCTTTGTTAAAAGTGGCTAAGTGTTCCAACTAATGTAGACAAGAGTTTTCAAAGAGTGTGTTCAGGAGTAAATTTCCAATTTCTTGGTGTTTAATGGAGGAACTCCACAGACATTTCTGCACATCTTTCCCTATTATTATGGAGGTTGATCATCTTTGGATGTGGTAATATACCCATTTAGAATTATTATTCCCGAAATTATACTAGAGTCTGTTTTCACCATTTTTGTGTCTGTGCATGTGAGTGTATTTTGTAATTGAATGTCAAATAATCACAGGGGTCATGTTTTAAATAGGACAAAATGATGGGGAATCTTGTTATGGTTACTGTTTGTTGCTATATCTCAAGGGTGAGCAGACTCTCATGTCTGCTTCAAAAATTTCTTTTCCAGAGGGAGTCAATGACAATGAAGCAATCTTTTCCTATGTGCCTCTAATTTGGATCTGGGGACAGGGATTGCACCCTAGGTCCTCTACATGACTTTAGAAATTAGAGCTCATATGGATTTCTCAGCAGATGTGGACAATGTATATATTCAATGTTTATATTAAATGTATATATTCAATCTATCTGATTCTGAACTGATGACTCTTCTGTTTGTTGGAAAGGATGAGTGAATGTGTCAAGGACCCAGTTGTTTCCCTGCACTTTGTGCATTCCAGAGAGGAATGGAAGAGCTTTCTTGTGCTTTTAGCTGAAGATATCCATGTTCATCATGTAAGTGGGCCTGTCAGAATAGGATGTACTTTCATCTGTAATACTGCATAAGTTTGGTTCTCTCTCTCTCTCTCTCTCTCTCTCTCTCTCTCTCTCTCTCTCTCTCTCTCTGTATGTGTGTCTCTCTGTGTCTCTCTGTGCCTCTCTCTCTCTCTCTGTGCCTGTCTGTCTGTCTGTCTCTCTCTGTGTCTCTCTCTCTCTGTTTGGCATGTATTTCAAATCTCAAGGAACATACTGTCAAATCACAAATGCTCCCCTGCACAGTAAATTACCTTAAATTACCTTGCACTGAGAACCTACCCAAACATTGGGATAAAAAGGCAAAATAAAATGAAACAAAACTCCTTGTTGAAAATTTTTTATTAAACTTATATCCATTTTTTTTTAAAGAAAGCAAGAAAAACATCTTCTTTGCTCACATTTAACTTCAGCACACAGCTTCGGTTGTGTTTTCTTCCAGTCTCTCCCAAATGTCTGTTCTTTCTGCTGCAATAGCCACTGATGTTCACATTTCAGCTAGTGTTATTGACTTTCTCCAATCCACCTTCTTCCTGGCAGCCAGTGAATCATTTCACATTTTCTTCCACTTCCTTTTCTTGGGTGTTACTGTTCTTGAACAGGTGGAAACTTTCTATCACAGCAAGTTAGACATCCTATCCTCCTGCTCCTCAAACATCCTCTAACCTGTATGTTTCTGTGATTGGCATTACCTTGAGTTTTTCTTGTTTCTCAGAGCCCTCAGCACTGTCCTTTCCAAAGAGTTACCTAGAGGGCCGTTTTTGTAATCTTCCTATGTAGGTTCTTCTATTAAAGGCTATTCATAGAATATATATCAGCTTCTTCATCACCTTGTACTCTTGAACTTGACATTTTCTCAAATCCATGTGTGCATATTTCTCTAAACCCACTTCTGAATATATCATATGTAGTACATAAAATGACATAAGAATAATACTGCTTATTGCAATATTGCTCAAAATGGCAAGATATTAGAAATAATCTACCTAGGTACAGATAGATAACTAGCATTTTCATTGTGCTAAAGTAATTGCTGCTAACAGAGAAATGAGTAGGGAATAAATTATAATCAATTTCAGGCAATATTGCATCAATTGATTTTTTTAACAGAGTAAGAAGGATGATATACTGTCATTTTAAAGATTGTTTTGACCAAGTTGGAAGAATTGATACATTAACTGTAGTTAAAGCCTGAAAAGAGTGAAGAAGCAAATGGTGAGAACCCCACCACTCACAGAGACAAATCGGGCCATTAAACATGTCTTCCCATAGAATACAATCACTGAGCTCTCTCTCAGCCATTAGGACATTGACTCCAATTTTATCATGTTCCTTTTCCTATTGTTTAGTGATTGCTCACATGGACAGGGAATGATTAAAGGGAAAAAAATGCCAGTTTAGCAACAGAGAAAACATAGGAAATGCATAAAAGTAACCATCTTTGGCTTAAAATCTCAAGTTAAGAATAAAGCAGGGGACATTTCTTTTGCTAGGGGACATTCTTTTGGAATTTTTTTGGCTGATCTAAGAAGTAGCAGAAAGAGCCAATGTTCCCAGGTGTTCTGTGGACTTAAATGAGATGCTTCGGTTTGAGCTGAAGACATTACTATGGAGTCGGGATAATTTTATGCAGCCTAGGAAGAGTGAACACATGGATGGAGAAACAGTGCTGTTACGGGAAGAACACATAGCTGCTTGCAAGCTGTTCTTGGTGCTTTATATGGTAGGCACAGACTCATGCACCTAAGGCTTTGACCCTCTGCACATGCTGCTTCCACTAAGTCCCCAGATCCTGGTATCCCACAGATCCAAAGACGCTTCCTGGGTTCCACTATTTGGATTTAATTTATGGAAATATGGCATTAGGCTAGTTCATTCAAGAGATGTTGAAAAGATTAAGAGAGATCAACAGCCATCAAAATCATGTTGATTTTTTTTTGTGCAGGTCTCAGTTTACACACTAAATTTTTAATTGGATTATGTTGATTTTTCTATTTACTGGTACCAATTTACACTCTAATTTCTTAATTGAAATCATGTTGATTTCTCTATTTGCTGGTACTAATTTACACACTAATTCCTTAATTGAAATCATGTTGTTGTTGTTGTTTTTATTTGCTGGTATGAATTTACAAACTAATTAATTCCTTATCTAAAATTGCACTGGTGAAATCCCGACACCAAGAACTGGACCAGGGCCTGATTTGATAATTGTTTTGATATTTCATTGTTTCGGTCTAAAATACACTCAGTTGTTTTCTAGGTGCACAAGTTATATCCCTCTCTAACCCATGGCTAGTCCATTCCTCTGACAAAAATCTGCATGTTAAGGTTAAAACAGGCATACTAAGTGGTCCAAACTAATGTTATGTTCTGTACTGGTGATTCATAAAATGTTTCTACAGTGTGATAATCAAATGTTTCTTTCCTGTGTCTTCTTTCATTTACAACGGAAGAGGAAGAGCATGAGGAGGGATAATGAAAGCACCGTGTCTGAGTTCATCCTCCTGGGGCTCCCCATCCGGCCAGAGGACCAAGGCATGTACTCTGCCCTGTTCCTGGCCATGTACCTGACCACAGTGCTGGGGAACCTGCTCATCATCCTGCTCATCAGGCTGGACTCTCACCTCCACACCCCCATGTACTTCTTCCTCAGCCACTTGGCCTTCACGGACATCTCTTTCTCATCAGTCACAGCTCCCAAGATGCTCATGAATATGTTGACACACAGTCAGTCCATCTCATATGCTGGGTGTGTTTCCCAGGTGTATTTTTTCTTATCTTTTGCAGATCTTGACAGCTTCCTTCTCACCTCCATGGCCTATGACAGGTATGTGGCCATCTGCCACCCTCTGCACTACACCACCATCATGAGTCAGAGCCTCTGTGTCCTGCTAGTAGTTGTGTCCTGGGTCTTGTCCTCTGCCAATGCCCTTGTGCACACCCTCCTCTTGGCTCGTCTGTCTCATTTTAGAGACAATACCATCCCTCACTACTTCTGTGACCTCTCTGCCTTACTTAAGCTGTCCAGCTCAGACACCACCATCAATGAGCTGGTCATCCTTCCTTTAGGTACACTGGTCATTACCCTGCCATTCATATGCATCCTGGTCTCTTATGGTTACATTGGAGCCACCATCCTGAGAACTCCCTCCACCAAGGGAATCTGCAAAGCCTTGTCCACATGTGGTTCTCATCTCTCTGTGGTTTATCTGTACTATGGAGCCATTATTGGACTCTACCTAGTCCCTTCATCTAATAACATTAGTGACAAGGATGTCATTGTGGCTGTGTTGTACACTGTTGTCACACCTATGCTGAATCCCTTTATCTACAGTTTGAGGAATCATGATATAAAAAGAGCTGTGAGAAATATCATCAGCAGGAAAGTGTGTCCATAGTGCTGGGTATCCCTATTCCTTTCTCCTCTTCTCCCATTTATCCTTGTTTCTGTGTTAGTGAATCTTCACATGACTCCCTCTTCTTCACTCACTTCTCCCTGCACAGTTTCCTCTCTATTTAACTCTCTTGCTGACACTGAGTATCTTGGGAAGGTTTATCACAAATCTCCGTACATTTTTCTATGTCTTGCAAATATTTTAATTGTTTATATAGTCATTGCTTAGTCTTTTTATTAGACAGGTTTGTAGCTTTCATAGCAAAGATCTTTTTCCTTTCTGAAGATGACAGAAATATTTCTTCTGTTATACTTATGATTTTATTTTTATGTTTTGTCTTATAATATACTCTGATTTTTTTTGGTCAGCAACTCTAATTAGGAATCTTATTTAACTTTTATTTATTTATTTTTACTTTTGTGTATGGGAGTTTTGCCTTCATGTATGTCTGTGTATCATTTTGTGCCTAGTGCCTGTGAGTTCAGAAGAGGGTGTCAGATTCTCAGCTTAACTTTACTTAGAGTTGGTTGTGAGCTACCACATGGGTGATGGAAATCAAACCTGGATCCTCTGAAAGAGCAGTCAGTGCTCTTAACTGCTGAGCATCTTTCGTGCCACATATTTAGTTTTTAGTTTTTGTAGTTGATACTCAAAAGTGGCAGATATTTATAGTGTATGGTGGGATGTTTCCATATAGGGTAAATAGTGTATTATATAAACCCAAAGATGGTATAGTAATTTCCTCAAATATTCACCATGTCTTAGTATGAAATTATTCCAGATTCTCTACTTTAGCCTTGGGGTAATACATAGTATTTATAAACTCTGCACAGTGAAAGATATGAAAACACTTATTTTTCATACCTACACATAATTTAATAACCACTGTCTGACTTATGCCCATCCCCTTCTTTTCCATTTTACTTATAATCATATCCATTTACCTCAAATTTTATTATTTGTATTAGTGTGATGGTAACCAGGTACTCAACTCACTGTGTTTTCAACAAGTGCTTGGGTCTTGTCACTAGCTACTATGAAACTGTTCCCTGTAAAAGACAAGAACAAAGACACAGGCAAGCTCTGTGTGGAGTGTGAAGGTGCTGGGAAGGGGGAGTGTGCTGAGGCATCACAGAGAGGGCTGGGACTCTGAACAGACACTCCAAGAGTTGCTGTGTGTATGCAGTTATTCCATCCTAACAAGGAGGCTCTGCTGTTCTGAGTGGGTGATGAAGAGTGGCTAGGTAGGTGTCAGGATGTCTCAGACATTTAAAGTGAAGTTCAAGCAGGTCTGCAGAGCAGTTTAATATATGTTATTATAAAAAGAAGAAAGACAATTCCTTGCTTAACTACCAAAATGTCACATCCCGTGAAGTGATTTTGCCCTTGGTCTATGAGAATTGACTCTGCTGAAGCAGAGAGACTTACTTCAGTTGACAGCAGTTGACTGGCATGACAGATATTTCTGTAAGGTAGTATAGGAGAGTCAATGGCTAGTTAAATGATGCTCACCTACCATTTAGTGGAACTTAAGCCACCATGAGTGTGTGTATGAGTGAGTGTGAGTGTGTGCATGTGTGCATGTGAGTGTGTATGTGTGTGTGTGTGTGTGTGTGTGTGTGTGTGTATGTGTGAGTGTATTAAAACTTTCCTGTTTGTTATTTTATTTTTTTATTTATTTTGCAATACAGTACAGTTCTACATATCAGCCACGGATTCCCTTGTTCTGCCCCCTCCCACCCCCCTCACCTTCTCCTCAGTCCACCCCCTATTCCCACCTCCTCCAGGGCAAAGCCTCCCCTGCAGACTGAGATCAACCTGGTAGACTCAGTCCAGGCAGGAACAGTCCCCTCCTCCCAGGCCAAGGCAAGCAACGCTGCATAGGCCCCAGGTTTCAAACAGCCAACTCATGCAATGAGCACAGGACCCGGTCCCACTGCCTGGATGCCTCCCAAACAGATCAAGCCAATCAACTGTCTCACCCATTCAGAGGGCCTGATCCAGTTGGAGACCCCTCAGCCATTGGTTCATAGTTCATGTGTTTCCATTCATTTGGCTATTTGTCCCTGTGCTTTATCCAATCTTGGTCTCAACAATTCTTGCTCATATAAACCCTCCTCTTTCTCACTAATTGGACTCCCAGAGCTCCACCCAGGGCCTAGCCATGGATCTCTGCATCCAGATCCCTCAGTCATTGGATGGGGTTTCTAGCATGACAATTAGGGTGTTTGGCCATCCCATCACCAGAGTGGGTCAGTTCGGGCTGTCTCTCGACCATTGCCAGCAGTCTGTTGTGGGGTATCTTTGTGGATTTCTGTGGGCCTCTCTAGCACTTTGCTTCTTCCTATTCTCATGTGGTCTTCATTTACCATGGTCTCCTATTCCTCATTCTCCCTCTTTGTTCTTGATCCAGCTGGGATCTCCCGCTCCCCCAAGCTCTCTTTCCCTCGACCCTTGCCCTTCATTACCCCCACTCATGTCCAGGCTGTTCATGTAGATCTCTTCCATTTCTCCATCATTGGGCAATCCCCGTGTCTTTCTTGGGGTCCTGTTTTCCAGGTAGCCTCCCTGGTGATGTGAGTAGCAGTCCAGTCATCCTTGTTCCACATCTGGTATCCTCCTATGAGTGAGTACATACCATGTTTGTCTTTCTGAGTCTGGGTTACCTCACTCAGGATGATTTTTTCCAAATCCATCCATTTGCCTGCAAACCTCATGATGTCATTGTTTTTCTCTGCTGAGTAGTACTCCATTGTGTATATGTTCCACATTTTATTTATCCATTCTTCAGTTGAAGGGCATCTAGGTTGTTTCCATGTTCTGGCTATTACAAACAATGCTGCTATGAACATAGCTGAACAAGTGCTCTTGTGGTATGATTGAGCATTCCTTGAGTATATGCCCAAGAGTGATATAGCTGGATCTTGGGGGAGATTGATTCCCAGTTTTCTAGGAAAGCGCCATATTGATTTCCAAAGTGGTTGTACAAGCTAAGCGACAGCCTACAGAATGGGAAAAGATCTTCACCAACCCCACATCCAACAGAGGACTGATATCCAGAATATATAAGGAACTCAAGAAATTAGACATCAAAATGCCCAACAATCCAATTAAGAAATGGGCTATAGAACTAAACAGAGAATTCTCAACAGAGGAAACTCAAATGGCTGAAAGACATTTAAGGAATTGCTCAACATCCCTAATCATCAGGGAAATGCAAATCAAAACAACTCTGAGATACCACCTTACCCCTGTCAGAATGGCTAAGATCAAAAACACTGAAGACACCTTATGCTGGAGAGGATGTGGAGCTAGGGGAACTCTCCTCCACTGCTGGTGGGAATGCAAGCTTGTACAACCACTTTGGAAATCAATATGGCCCTTTCTTAGAAAATTGGTAAATTGCCTAAGGTTGGGTAAATGGCCCCATACTCATGCACATATGTACAGCACTAATTCAATTTATCAGGTTATTAAAAATAATAGGACAGGAAATTGAGGGGAATATGTGTTGGGGGGGACCTGGGAAGAGTTAGAGAGGAAAAATATATATGAATGATCTTATTTCACTGTATACATGTATGAAAGTCTCAAAGAATAAATTTAAAAACTTAAAAAATAAAAACCATTTGTTGATATCTTAAAGAATAGTTTTTTTAAAAAAAATTTTATGTGTATTAGTGTATGTGTTCCCCGTCCCATGCAATCACAGGACAATGTGTACAATGGGCATGCAGTGCCTGAGGAGGACAGAAGTGGATACTGGATCCCCTGGAACTGTAGTTACAGGTGGTTGAGATCTACCATGTGGGTGCTGGGAACTGAACCTAGGTCATCTGCAAGAAAATCAAGTGTTTGTAAGCACTGAGTCACCTCTCCAGTTCCCTAACATCTTACTGAATCCATTTAAAGTTTGTGCTCTTAACTTCCTCCTCACCCATCAATGCCTGAGGCAGGTGGGAGAGCTGGCCCTGTGGTCACAGAGCAGGAGAGTCATCCCTGAACCCACCAGCTGTATACTCATGAGAGCAGGTCCTACACCTCAGCAGGGCAGCATGACAGAGCCAGCCCTGTTAGTGAAGGTGTGGGTGAGCCAGCCCTGAAGTTGTGAGCATGGGAGAGCTGCCTCCATTTTTCATCTGTCTTGTGACAGCAGGAGAAAGGGAAAGATGCCCTCTCCCCACCCACCAATGCCTGAGGCAGGTGGGAAAGCTGATCCTGAGGTCACAAATATAGGAGAGCTTTCCCTATCCCACAGCGGCATCAGGAGCACTTGAGAGAGCAGGCCCTGCACCTTCCCTGGGCAACACAATGGAGCTAACCATGTTGGTGGAGGTGTGGTTGAGCCAGCATTGAAGTTGAACAAGGGAGAACAGTCCCCGTTACTCATCTGTCATGAGGAGGCATGAGTGGGGGAGAGCTGCCTTATCCTCCACCCATCAATACCTGGGACAGCTGGCCCTGTAGTCATAAAAACAGGAGAGCTATCTCTGAGTCCCACTAGCTACAACACTCAGGAGAGCAGGCCCTGCACCTTGCCTAGGCAACACAATGGAGCCAACTCTGTTGGCACAGGTGTGGGTGAGGCAGCCCTGAAGTAGTGAGCAAGGGAGAGCTGTCCCCATCACCCATCTGTCCTGTGACTGCATGGGCAGGGGAGAGTTGCTCCTCCCACCCCTGCAACCTAGAAATTTCTGAGGCAGGTGTGAAAACTGGCCCTGATGTAACAAGAGCGGGAGAGCTGTCCTTGCCTCCCACCAGCTGCAACAATTGGGAGAGCAAGTTCTGCACCTCACCTGGGTAACACAATAGATCCAACCTTATTGGCAGAGGAGTGGGTGAGTTAGCCCTCAAGTTGTAAGCATGAGAGAGCTGTCTTCACTACTCATCTGTCATGTGGCAGTGTGGGAGGGTAAGAGATGGTCCCCAGCCCCTTTCCCCTTACCACCTGCAACAGACAATAGAGCTGGCCCTCCCCCTTATCAGCTGCAGCAGTCAGGAAA